GAAGAAACAGTTTTGTTTAAGCACAGAGGGTAAACTTACATTTCTCTCTTGCCATGTTGGCCTACTAGAGATTTCAGCAACATTCTGGGATGCATTTTTTGCTGATGACTTCCTGCTGCTGAGGATATGCACAACAGTGCCAAGAGCCTCTGATAAATCTCGTAAAGAGGCACCACTTAGCCCATACAAAGTGGAAGCTGTACAAATGATAAGAAAGGAAATTAAAATAAGGCGCTGGCCACAACCATAATGTGATAGCAAGAGAGCAAAGTATAACACACACACACACACACACACACACACACACACACACACACACACACACACACACACACACACACACACACACACACACACACACACACACACACACACACCAAGCATGGGGAAAATCCACAAAATGAGAGTTCCAGAAGTAGTTTAATAGGTATTTCATTTTTGCTTTTATTAGTCTGCCTCTTTTTGCTACCTCATGTGTTTATCCACTGCGAGTCCTTGCTTTTTAAAAAATCTTGATTATCTTAAACAGAGGTGGGTTGGGGGGGGTGGATATCTGGTCTTTTGTTTCCATCATAAACCTTCAGATTGAACAACTTTCCTGTTCACTCACTTTTAAGTATTTGAAAAGGCCCAAGCTGTTTTTTTCTTATCTTAGAAAGGCTCACTGTGTTAACATTTAAGATACTCTCTAATAAAGGCACCGAAAGGGATTTATGCTTGATTAAAATATTATCGCAACATCCCACAGAGCTACTAAACTTCTGGTTGAGAAAAAACCCCTCAGTATTATAAGCTGTCAAAGAGAATAGTAGCAGAGTGACCAAGGCTCAAGTATGGAGTTCACATATTGGGTAGAAGTATGATATTTCCCATGATTTCAAGGAATGATGTTGCTTTCCTTTGGTGTAACTGTGGTTCTTTGAATGGTCATCTGCAGAGTCACAGAACTGGGTTTGTGCCTACGCAGAACCAAGCCAACTTTCCAGACCTGAGCTCCCTCTCTCCACCATTTTGGAAGGAGCCCTGCCCACCCTCTCCACTTGGAGGGCAGCTGCTGAAGATGCCATTGGTCTGGATGGGTGCGATTTAAGTCCTTGGAGCCATTGGGTGTGCATGAGGTCACAGGCTAAGTATATGCACTCCGTGATTCAGTGGGCAAAATGCTGGGAGGATATGGGTGTGCCCTTTTTGCAGCCTACATAACAAACAAACAGATTTCCTGAATTGTAAAGTCCTGGAAATACAGAAGGCCAGAACTTGCTTAACATTGAGGATGTGCAGGCTGCGCTCTAGACGTGTAGATGGATTACAGAAGATGGCTGCAAGGACTACCTCTTGATTCAGGTGAAAAGAAGAGACCACCTTAATGAGCAAGGAAACATCTGGACAAAGTACCAACTTCTCAGGATGAAAAACAAGGTAAGATGAGTTGGAACGGAAAGCACAGATTTCAGGCACCCTTCTGGCAGAGGTAACTAAAATGAGGGAGTCAGTTTTCCAGGTAAGATGGTGGATAAGGGAGGTAAGTCATAGGTTCAAAGGGTAGGCACATCAGCTGCACCAAAGCCAGTGGGAGAGACCAAAGGGGAGCAGGCACAAGAACATCAGGAGCAAGGTTCCCTAATCTCTGAGGAAAACTTTTCACCAGTGGGTCAACAAAGAGGGAGGAAAGACAGTGCAGTGAAGTGGAAGCAAGTAGATCTTGACAGGGGGAAAAAAAAGAAAGATCCTTGTGTTTTGACATGAGAAAAATTGCAAAACTTGGGGAACTTCACAGAAACTCGGAACAAAGAGCTTCTCCTAGGCAAACTTGTAAAAAGTCTTCCATGTTGCAGTAAAGAAACAATGGATAGAGGGCTTCCTTGCAGCCTGTAACACCTCTAAGACTGGCTGGGTGCTATTATTCTGAAGACAGACTTACCCATTGTCCTGGGAGATGAGGTCTGGATGTTGTAGTAGGATGAGAAACTGTCTATGGAACAGGCACAGAAAAGGGGTGAACTACAGCTGTCTGGGCCACCAAGGAGTGATCAGGATGATGGAAGCTTTTTCTCATTGAAGCTAAGCTACTACACAAAGAATCAAGGGGATGGTGGCAAAGACATCTATGGCAGGTATGGTGCATTTCTCCATAAGAACGCAGAAAACAAGAGAGTGATGTTTGTGAACCACAGGAAGTCTGCTGAGGGCATCAGCAAGAGAGTTCTTGGAGGACACCAAATGCATGACTATTAGAAAAAATATTTCAATGACAACATCACTTCCAGAGACACAGATGAGTGGATGAATGTGCACTACCCTTCTTGTTCACCTAGTGCATGGTGATTGTGTTGTACATTGCTACTTAGATAATTTCCTCTGCGATTAGATGGAGTGCCTTGACGATTATGAGAAGCTTAGGGCACTGATGTCAATGTTGTGTTCCCATATTTTCCAGTGGTATTGTGTTCTGAGGCCACAACAGTGCATTTTCCATGTAAGTGTTGAGGCATCTCTGGTTATGGTGATGGGCAGATGCGGTGGCTGGAAAATCATGGACATTTCTCTTTTATAGGTTGGAGTGGGACACCCACAATGCAAGGCTGTGCCCACTGTGCCAGTGATGATAGCAGAATCCAATTCCAATGACTTTCCTTGGGACAATGGCTTGCGTTATGTGTGCACTGAGGGGGTGCCAATGTAGGAAATGTGTAGAGCTGGACTAAGACATGATTTTCCCTTGTTCATCTGGAACCTTAGAGTGTGAAAGAGTTATAGAGTAAGCCGGATAAGGTGGAGGAAAAGTGGCCAAGAGCCTGCCATCAGGACCCACTCATTGATGTACAGGAAAATGACGATGGTGGTAAAAGAGCAAAGTGCACGGATTGAGTACATTCATGAACAGAATGCGGAAAATGTGACCTGTGCTGGTACAACAGAAGCGATTGGTAAACCCTGTGGTAGGCATGGGAGCGACCTGACGAGCAGTCCTGAGGCAATCTCCCAGGTGAAGAAGAGTAGGCCAGAGAGCCACAGATGGGTGACTATTTGGGCTGATGATTGGTTGAGTATGTGTGGCAAGAATAGGCAGGTGATCAAGAGCAAGACTGACATGGAGAGCGACCTGAGTGATCCCCTTGGAAAGTAACATTTGCTGGAAATGAGGGGGAAACATCCTGACGAGCAACAGACAGGTGGCAGAGCCTTCAATTGTTGCCAGGGGAGTGAGCCCAGTATGACACTGATGGGTCAGTGCCAAAAAGACAAGAGTGGCGGAAGCCGGTACAGACATGCAAGCATTTGGAGGAGAGATGGGTATGTGGCAGAGGTGATGGAAAAGCCTCGTAGGCTCAGAGCAGCAGTGGCTGCAACCAACAGCAGAACAAGCAGAGAGTGTTGCCTGTGCTTAGGATGTTTCTCTGCCTTTTTGTCTTTATTCTTCTTGGGCCTTTTAGCCTCCAAAGGTGCCAGGCTGGAAGGGTGCTTCAATGAGACATGTTTGGGGTCTGGCTTAGGGCCTGCACCAGATGACTGAAATGGAGATGCAAGCAGAACGTCCAGTTGGCTGTGTGTTGGCATAGGAGTGGGTGAGGTGTCCCAATGTCCCATGCCCTCTCTACTGGCTACCAACATAGCTATGGAGTTGCTCAATACAAAACCTTTTGATACCGGGCCTGCTGATACTATCACAAACAGTGACTGCGTGGCTCGGTTTTGTGTTGCTTGTTCTGCTGCTCTTAAGGAATTTTCCCAAAGAAGAGTCGAAGTTTTGACTTGCAGAGGTGGAGGAACTGCTACATAAAGCCCTTGCAAACTATGCAAGACTAAGGAAAGGGGGGCCTCGCCAAGGTAAAAAAGACAGTGAGTGCGACGGTCTGTGGGGGCAATATTGCCGCTGCACAAAGGACACTTTTTGAAGGGGGCTTTAGTGACCATGCAGTGGGGTGAGACCTGCTGCAGGTTGGGGAGAAAACGATGTAACTTGGTGCACTCAGAAAGAAAGGAAAAAGAAAGAACAAAGCCTAGGAGAAAAGGGAACTAAAACAAGAATATCAGGGGGAAAGGGAAGGAGGGAGGGAAAAGAAGTAACTGGATAGTTGATCAGTGAACCTTCCACATTGTGACCACTCTGTCAGACAAAAAGGAACTGAAGGCAGTCTGCTGGAGTGTGCTACACATACATGGTGGACGGTGTGTGTGGGGGGCTCATGCCGAAATGGTGGAGGGAGGGAGGTCAGTTCTGTGAAGTTCCAAAAACTGGCTCTGTGCAGGTGCAAACCCAATTATATGATCCACAGAGACCACGGAGAAGAAACTGGGAAGCAGACATTTATCAGTCTTATCAGGCAGCCTAAATAAAAATTATGTCATATTATTGGATAAATAAAAAAAGAAATCTCTTATATCACAAAACTAATTTAAAGTGGAGAAGTTTGTGTCATTTTATCCTAAAGCTGGTTTCTCCCCTTTGACTCCTATGTTGAACTTTCCAACCAAACCTATGGATTTACTGTGAAATACACCCTTTCCAATGGACTGGAGCAGGACTATTAAGCAGCAATAGCCAGCGGACCTCCTTTTTGCTTGTACTTTAAGACGTAAGCAAAACCACAAGGGAAATAAAACACTCACAGTATTTCTGCATTTTTTCATTTAATATTATTTACTGTTTTCAACAACCATGGGTGAGGAATATTCTACATTTTCATACTGAGTTCCTCGGTTCCTCACCATTTCCAAGCCAACGAAAACAGCTAGGTCTCCTCTTGTAATAGGAGGAATTACATACTGGCCATGATGAGACCAGTAAGTGGAAGGTGCAGAACTCCGCGAATAACAACCAGAAAGAAAATGAATTGTTGACAGAACTCAGAATAGATGCTATGCTTGCACACTGGAAAATTTAAGTGCGTTTTACAGAAATATAGCAGGCCAGTGGAACAAAAGAATTACAGGCAATTGCTTATTTCAACTTAGAAGAACAGTAGAAGATTTTTTAATGAATCAGCAGTTCTACTCACCCTTTCAAGATCCTGCCTGAGGTGTGTGAAGAGCTTCAAGCGTCGGTACAGCACATCCTGCTCTTGCTGAGCCAAGTTGTCTACCTCATCTGTTTTGGGTGTCATTAGAGGCTTGTTGTGATTGGCTTTCCTCTTCATCTTCCAGTACTGGTAGACGAAATCAACTAGCCATTCCGTCATATCAAGGTTCTCAGCCACCTCAGAGGGTTTTACAAGTTCATAGAAGTCTTCCTCCAACTGTTGAAGCTTCTGCTTCCTCAAGGTCACCTTCTCCATGTCTAGCTTGCCTTGATCTGCATCCACCCGTGCTTCATCAGGCGGCTTAGTGGCCCCGCTGCTGTGCTCAAGGCAGAATGACTTGAATTTCACTTCATCGTTCTCTGCTAATAGCGTCCGCATGTCCAGATTGTGTTCAAAGGCGCATGTGACATGGAATGCTGTGATGCAGGAAGGCATGGAGCACTACAGTGGGCAGGAAAAACAGAGTAAAGACCTGAGTGTAGAACCCCAGGGAGCCACTTCACATAAGACCCTGTCAACTATGCACTCAGTTACAAGAAAATCATGACAGACTTTGAGCTGCTGTAATTAAAGAGTGGCAAAAATTATTGACCGGAAAGGGATGGCACAGAAATTATGGAATACCCATATGTTTCAAACCTTTTGATTTTCTTGAAAAGCTGAAGGAATACTACCAGTATTTCACTTACAATATGATCTTCCAGGCACCGAGAAAGAACTTTCTTATACACACACCTCTCTCTTTTTGTTATTGCTGCTTTTACTTTTGGAAGAGCATTTATCACAGGGAGGTGTCCATGATTTTGCCAAGAATAAATCAAATTACTTAGCACAGCTGACCTCATGTCCAGTGATCAAATTCACCCAGTGTGAGCAGGGGCAGCCGCTGAGTATTCAGTATGACCAGGCAACATGCTTCCAAGTGTTAGATAGACTTCCTATGATTCATCTACAGTCCTTGGCCTGGAGAAAATAGTATGAACAATCCATCTAGGAAGACTAGATGTGCTACATGGGGTGGGGTTGCCAGAGGCCTGCTGTCTTCCTAATGACAGGGCTGGTCCTAGCCAGAGAGGGAGAGTATAGGCACTGATCCTACATTCACTATTTGAATCTTGCAGAGACTATGGAAGACGCAAGTACTTTAGCATGCTTCAAAGCTGACGTGCATACAAAGTTTATCACCATCCTGTCAAGAAATGAACAAGCAGTGATGGAGCAATTTCATTTTTCTCATTCTTTCTGTTCCCTGTGGACTTCAGATCTCATACTAGACTATGCCTTGCATTTTGCTATTAGCAAAAAGATTACTGGTACTTCATCACGTAATCTGACCAGGTTTTGGTTTGTTATTATATAATACCCATCATAAGGTTTGATACGCATTTCAGATAAAAAACCTACTACCTGTAACATGTGAAGACAGGCACCTGGTGGAGAAATCCTTCTGGCACAGGGATAAGATTTGACAAGACACTATTGCATGTGTGGCCCTCCTGATATTTTAGACCTCACTGCTGAGGAGCTTAGCCAAGCGATAGTGCCAAAAAATCCCCATTCTTGTATTATCAGCTCCCTGGAGCCAAATACCCAGATGGAAATCGTTAAATTTATCATACAGACATTACGAGTTACATGCATTTTTTTACATGAAGAATGATTTCCTGTTAGAATAGTGGTTTCCAAAGGCGAGTCCCCAGACCATGGCTGGTCAGTTTGGTGTATTTCCAACTCCTGACTATGCCAGCTGTAGGTTTTGGGCACTGAAGTCCAACAACATCTGGGGATCCAAGCTTGGAAACCACATTATTGGGAAGAGTAAAACTAAGAAGCAAAGAGTACATCAAAGGAACATGTCCAAAATGCAGAGGCCAGATTGCTGACTGGGGCTGGAGGGATCACATAACCCCTCTGTTGAAGCAGCTCCATTGGCTGCTGATCAGTTTCCGGGCACCATCCAAAGTGCTGGTTTTAACATATAAAGCCCAAAATGGCCTGGCCCCAAGCTATCTCAAATACTATGTCTCCCATTAGGGGTTGGCCTGGGTGCTAAGATTATCAAGGGAGGCCTTTCTCTCAATCCCACCACCCTCACAACTGCATTTGATGGGAACACAGAAGAGAGCTTTCTCTGTTGCTGCTCCAGACTTTGGAACTCCCTCCCACAAGAGGACAGAATGGCCTCATCTCTGCTGTCCTTCCACAAGCAGGCAAAGACCTTTCTCTGAATGTGATTTTTTTTCATAGATCGTTATGCATTACTTCTTTTACTGTGTTTTTAACACTGCTTGAGTTTGTTCCTTTTTGATATCTGTATACAGTACTTATTGTTTTTAGCTCTAATATTGTCTTTTAATGATGTAAACTGCCCTTTATACTCATTGTTCTTAGCTTTAAAAATTGTTTTTTAAAAATTATGTCTGCTGCCTTGGATCCTTTTTAAGGAGAAAGGCAGGATAAAAATAATAGAGACAGACAGACAGACAGAGATAAGTTCTGATAAATGAGAGGCTTGTGTTTGTTTTACCGTCTTCATTCATTCACAGTACAGTGGTGCCTCGCTTAACGAGTGCCTCGTTTAGCGATGAATTCGCATAACGATGTGTTTTTTTAGAAAATAATATGCACCGTATAACGATGTTTCCTATGGGCGATTTTCGCTTAGCGAAGTTTGGGACCATGCTTCGCATAACGAATGCGATTTTAGGTCCCCTGCTTCACTTAACGATGTTTCTTTTTTCAATTTAAAAAGTGTCTTAGAAGGGTCAAAAACGGTTCTAAATGCTTGGATTCGTTAGAGGACCCCCTAAGTCATGTGCAAACCTGATTTGGCTTTGATCTGACTTTTTGTTAATTTATGGTGAATTTTTTTT